AGTTATCGATGTCGACAATTGAACGGACTTTTTCTGAAGACATAAATCATGGGGGAGAAAGATTTGTTCAGCATTGAAACGTGTGCCTTAATGTACGACATGGCTGAATATGTCTTTTGTGTTAGATTATTAAAGCCTTCGTGTTGGTAGGCAACTCATGTGTCTGAGCTCCGAAGACAAAACGTGAAATAAAAGGGGAACACTGAAAACGCTTCTTCTTGGGGTTGTTGTTGTTTTTGTATACTGTTTTGTTTCGTATGTTGCTTTTTTTTCATTTCGCATTACCGGCATGCCCTTTACTAAAATAAAACAGGTCCTTTTGATGTCCAGGTATGCTAAACAATTGACGACAGAAACAATACACAAAACGTGTAGACATCACAGAAGCATGCACGTTCATGTGCATTATTTTATCTTTAAACAGATCAGTGACAGCGTATAAGAATAAACAGAATGTTCTTTTTATTTAGCTCGCCCTCCACCAAAAGGCACAAAAATGTCACAGCAATACAAAGAGGTCAAAAACGAACTCGTTCAAAAGCATAAAAGGACATTGCGGTGTCAATTGCATGTTCTGAAAGGTGATTGCCACAACACTAGATCTACTGAAGCCAGACATTGGGGTTCTCGCGCTGGTCTATAAATTTAGCAAAAGAGAAATAAACATAAAATGTTAAATATAAGATATAGATTATAAATGAGTAATGCATTCACACATGATAAGCTTACCTACAGGTATACCGAAAAAATAATAATACGAAAATCTCAAAAACGTCCCAACGCTCCAAAGGGGTCCTCCACCTAAACTGCGTGCAGGCTGCCTTTCAGACGTATGAGGCCGACTGTAATAACTCCGCGTATTGTCGAAAATTGTGTGGTACGTGGGACAAAAAATCAATAGAAAACTGAACACGTACTTAAGAGGTCAGAGAGTCGTGATTGCAATGTTCAGTTGAACTGCGACACTATTCCCTCGATACCAAGAGAACAATGTAGAGAACTTTAAGTCCTTTCTGCAGCCTCAATTCTCGTTCTTTTTGTTTAAAAAGGTCACTCTAGGACAGCCTAAACATCAAATTCCAATCATGAATTGTTTGGTGTTGAAACAAACCTATTTGAATTCCATCAAAAGAAAATAGAACTCACATATCGCCCAAACTTTCCAAACTCGAACTCGATACGGTAAAAGTGGAATACACCAGTACTTCTCCTCAGGGGTGAATTTTCGGCTTGAACGACCTAGTTGATTCTTGCTCAACCCCCCATTCTCTTCTCCTTTCTCGAACTAAGCAATCAAGGGGGCTCACAGCAAACAGTTATGTTATTAGAATTTCTGGACAGGGGAGTAGGTACAAAATTTTAAGCAGCGGGACGTGTGTGTTTATATTTGTGAGAGTATGTTTATGTGCAGGTAAAACAGACAGACAGACAGACAGACAGACTGACTGACAGACCGACAGACAGACAGACGAATAGACAGGGGAGGGGCTCTTATTTGGAAAACAGGAAGACAAAGCTGAGAGGAAAGGTAGAATTATAGATGGGACAAGGGCTATAATAGAAGAAAACTGATAAACACTATCAACTATTTTAAATATCTCTCTCTTTTTTTATCCCCCCTCCATCTCTCTCTCTCTCTCTCTCTCTCTCTCTCTCTCTCTCTCTCTCTCTCTCTCT